TTAACACAGAGACAAGGAGAAATATTTTACTCCCAGACAGCTATAAGTCTTTGGAAGTCTCTTCCTCATAAGACAGAGGAAACAGAGACTTTGAATATTTTTGAGGAGGCAGGAGATAGATTCTTGATAAGCAAGGGGGGTGTGCAAAGCTTTTGGGGGTGGATGGGGATGTGGATTAATCAGATCGTTACTGAGTTGAATGGTGGGGCCTAAACTCCTGCTCCAAACTCGTATATAGGTATTTTATGAAAGCACTCTTTAACATGTCTCAAAAACAAAATCGTGCATTTATAGCACACGGTTGATGCATTAAACCCTGCCAAGGCATTTCACAGGAACACATTCAGATAGAAATTGACTTTAAGCCAAAGAAAAATAAATTATTACAAAACTTTGGTCAAAGAGCCACGTTTTAAGGTCTTTCGAACTTACAAAAGGAGACGGAGTAGGCTACCCAGCCCTTCGAGCATCTGCTCCGCCTTTTAATAAGATTGCAGCAATCTCCAAATAGAAACATGATGTGGAGGTGCCGGTGTTGGACTGGGGTGGACAAGGTCAGAAATCACACGACATGAGGTTACGGTCCAACAGGTTTATTTGAAAACACAAGCTTTTGGAGCTTAGTTCCTAGTTCAGGTGTTAGTGAGAGAGGTAGTATCAGACACAGAATTTATAAGTAAAAGATCAAAGGATCATACCACTGATGTGGATGTATTAAACAAACCTAAGATGCTGTTAAATCTTTAATCAGTTCAAAGGTTTTAATTGATTAATATATATATGTAAATCCCCGAATTCCTTTCAAGTCACTGTCCTGAGTGTACGAAAGGCTTTATCAGTGTAAAAAAAATGACATTTTAGGTCTGATTTTTAGGTGACATTTTAACACACACACACTCTCTCTCTCTCCCTCTCCTCCTTCCCTGCTGCCTCTCTCTCTGTCTCACACGTATTTATGCTCTCCCACCCCCTCTCTCTCACACACAAACACTCTCTCCCTCCCCTCCCTACCCCCTCTCTCTCTCTCACACACACACATAAGCACACACTTTTTCCCTCTCCCTCTCTCTATCTCTCACACACACACACACATTCTCTCCCTCCCCTCCCTCCCTCTCCCTCTCACACACACACATACTCACTCCCCTCTCTCTCACACACACACACTCTTTGTCTCCCCCCGCCCCTACTCTCTCAATCATACACTCTCTCTCACACACACACAATCCCTCCCCTCTCTCACACTCACACACACGCTCTCTCTCATACTTACACAGAATCCCTCACACTCACACTCTCTCACTCACACATACTCTCTCTCTTGTTCACGTACACACATTCTCTCTCTCTCCCCTCTCTCTCCTCTCTCTCTCCCTCCCCCCCCTTACACACACACACTGTCTCTCTTTTTCACACACACGCGCGCACATACTCTCTCTCACACACACAAGCGCACATTCTCTCTCACACACACACACAAGCACACACTGTCTCTCACACACGCACGTACCTCTCTCCTTCTCACATACACACAAACACACACACACGCACACACTCTTTCTCTCTCTATGTCACAAACCCACGCACACTCTCTCTCACACATACACATGCACACATTCTCTCTCGCTCTCACACACAAACACACACAGCACATAAATCTATGGGGTGAATCTGGATTTGCAGATGCATTCTATTTTTTTCAAAAAGCACACAATTGATAGACAGTAGGTCAATGTGGCATTTTATAAATTCCTGCTTTAGAAATAAAATCAGTCTGACTCCAAACCAAAACACAAACAGATTCTAAACAAGGTCTCAAACGTAACATGCATTGTCTGACCTAAAATGTCACCTCTTCTTTACACTGACAAAACCTTTAGAACTCTTAGAACAGTGACTTGAAAGGAATTCGGGGATTTACATATACATATTAATCTAACTGATTAAAGATTAAACAGCATCTTAGGTTTGTTTAATACATCCACATCAGTGGTTTGACCCTTTGATCTTTTACTTATAAATTCGGTGTCTGATACTACCTCTCTCACTAACACCTGAAGAAGCAGTGAGGCTTTGAAAGCCTGTGATTTCAAATAAACCTGTTGGACTATAACCTGGTGTCGTGTGACTTCTGACCAAATAGAGAGAATTATTCAGGCTGCGAAATGTGGAGTGAAAATGTTGCAGAGTTTGGGCACCTGGCAACGGAGGTTACAGCCAGGTAAAGGAAGATGAGAAAGAGGACAAAGATTGAGGAATGTAAAGACCTCATAAGGTGGATCAGAGATAGTAGGAACTGCAGATGCTGG